CTCGCGGTAAGGAAAGCAACTCAACATTGGTTTCTAGTTTAGCATGTCTATTAACATGTTGATTTGTGTTTTTTTAAGCATCCGGCAAATCGATAACAAAGACAAAATATGTTTGAAAACATTTTTCAATTTGTTTGGAGGTTTTGACATTTTGGCACTGTGCTCATACACATGACATGTGGCATGCCATTTTTTCAAAAGAAAGTATTGGCTAAGTCATGGTAATGCTAAACATTTTCAAATCAAACCTGTGTGGGGGGGGGCAGGACGGACCAAAAAAGGCACTGTAAGAGTGCCAGGAGCTGTAAGAGCTTCAAAGGCTGTAAGAGCCTGGCTGTAAGAGCCTTCGAAGCTGTAAGAGCTTCATGGGCTGTAAGAGCCCCAAAGGCTGTAAGAGCCTAAAAAAGAGGCTGTAAGAGCCTATTACTAAAGGCTGTAAGAGCCGAAGGCTGTAAGAGCCTTGCCTGCCACCTGCCCAAACCAGGTTGCAAAAAATCATCCATGCTATGTTTTTCATTTCTTGGTTCAGAGTCCCGGGTTGAAAAACAAAGGCATGAACGGAAACAATATTTTAAAAGGGCAATATTGATTGGCAACACCCTCGCTAACTGTCAGCCATTCTATCCAACCAATCCATGCATTCATCCTTTCACTCTTTCATGTTTCAAAATTCAACCATTCACATACATTCCAGCATTCAACCCTGTAGCCCTGTAGCTGGTGGGGGGCTGTCAGGCAGGGCACCTGCAGCTCTCGCCAAATGTCATGTTAACATACTATGCTCTTACAGCACAGGATATGACAAAATACACCTGAAGAGTCACCACTTCGCCAACGATTCTGTGACCTTTTCTTGCTCTTCGCACTGTTCAGGCAACTCTGCATGGCCGCCTGCCAGAGACAACAAGTGGGTTGGAGGCCCCAGCGTTCTTGATAAAGGGGTTTGCTTGACAGTTCAGTTTTTCACTGTGGCATGCGCGTTCTGAATTTTAAGTAGGGGCTCAGGTTCAATGCAGTACCTATGAAAAAATGATGGGAAGTCACCTAACTTTCTTCCTAGTGTTCGTGGGGCTCTCTGGTTCCCTCACATAGGTTATCCATGAAAAAATGATGGGAAGTCACCTTTCTTCCTGATGCATGTGGGCGTTTCTGGTTCCCTGACCCCTTGTTGGTACAACGCCTTTTGCCCGGTAGGCGCCTTCCCAGAAAAACACTTGCAAAAACCATGAAAAACACGGTTTAAACAGCTGTTTGATTGAACCAAAGCACCACTTTCTGGGTTGTATTTCATTTTTAGGCTCGGATGATGAAAGGCGACTTCCCATAGCTTGGCTCAAAGTCAACAGCAATACCACTGAACATCCATCCAATCCATATACATGGCGAAAAAGGGAAAGAAGAAGGCTAGGAGCAGGAAAATGAAGCTGGGTCAGCGGTGCTGTCGGGAAAAATGTGGAGCAACTGGAGGAACCATATTCTCAAAAATTCATCGACGTGGCTCTATGTGGCTGTCACTTTGACCCACGCTTTGTGCGCGCGTATCACTGAAGTGTTGAAACTGAAAGCTTCCGACTTCCATTGGACTGGAAGAACCGTGACCATCGCGGCTCTGAAACGTCAGCCACAGGCCGGCTAGTGAAATTGAAATAGGACCTTATATCATATACAAATTTACAAATATATACACATGTATATAATATAGTATAATATAATATAATATGATATATATATATATAAATACAATTTACATCGAATATAATACATTCGTATCATAACTATTTTTGTGCGCCAGGTCAACAACGTGCTTCTGAACGCAATCCTTCCTACACTTCGTGGTTTGAAGAAGAATGGGAAGTCAGTTGCACGCAAGAGACGCTGTGGCGTGCGTGGCACAGTGAGTTTCAAGGACGCGTGGCGCTGGCCTACAGGGCAGAACTATCTCTTCCCAGACAGGACTGGGAAATCTCATATCAAGAAGGACGTAGTCTGCCACGCGCTTCAGAAAGTTCGAAATTCATTCAGGGCTATGGATTCCCACAAAATACGGAGCCATTCAGGCAGACATACCATGATAAATGTGCTGAAATCAGAAAATGTACCAGCTGACGCTGGCATGGCGTTTGCTCGCATTTCTCACAAGCGCACTTACGACTTGTATGGCCAGCTGAATCAGTTGCAAGCAGGCCAAACTTTGAATTCAAACAAACGTTTGAAGAAATCTTTGAAATCCGTCTACAGCTGAAGCATCGAGCCTGTGAAAATGAAGCCTATCGTCGTTGGGAGAGTGTTGCCACAAGACCTCAATAGCAAAAATCCAAAACTGTTGGTTACAAGCTCTTACAGCTCCATAGGCTCTTACAGCCTCTTTGAAGCGAAAGTAACATCGGCACAATGAAGCTGTTCAGCTCATTTTTTTCTCACAGATGGATCACCATTCAATTTCTGGATCACCAAATTCCGTTTTTTCTCACAAGGGATCACCATTTAATTTCTGGATCACCAAATTCCGTGATGCGATTCTTCAGGCTGCCAATTCTGTAAAATTCAGATGCTTCAGTTTCCAGGGATTCAGTCAGTCGATCATGTCCAGGGGATTCAGTTTACTAACGGCAGGCCCGAACAATCAGCACCTAAGCCTACCCCTACGAGCCTACGAGTACAACCGACGCAAGGCACTCTGCAGCTCGAGTTCACTGCACCAACAGGCGGCCATCCACAAAATCATCCGTGGGTGGCGAGGCTCCGTTGGTGGGTCCGATCTCCACACCTCGTTGGCTTTAGATGGGAGAGTTTTGGATCATCTAAAAACAGTGGGTTTTCCTAACCCCAAAACAGTGAGTTAATTGATGTCCAAGCTGCCATTGGCCAGGCTGTCGGGGTGAAGTGCAGGTTGTGGCGACGGACGTTCGCGTGAGGACAGCACGTAAAGTTGTACAGCCGGATCGACCAGCCAGCGCCGGCACGTTCTAACTGCCAGCCGCCTTGCGTCTCCAGATGCAACCGGCGCGTCCGCCTAGGTTTTGCCATGCTAGCTGTGCACTAACAGCAAGTTCCGGGTTTCAGGGCCAAAAAACAACAAAAAAAATACGAATAAATAAATAAATAATGAATTTTGGCAAAGTTCTGTGTTCTTCTGAAGAATGACACAGTAGCGTCTTCCCACAAAATTAACCACTCCGCATCTCTGTTAGCTGCCAGCTGATCCTGGTACTTGAAAAGGAGACAGTGCCTTCGGACCAATGCGACGGCCATGCTGATGGCAGAGTGCACGGAGCACAGGAGCTGCGTGCTGCACTGACGGGTTTGGCCAAAATTTCTGCATTTGGGGTAGATTTATTCAACAACATTCCCACCAACTGGTTGGAATCGTGGTTCATCAGGCTCTTACAGCCAAATAGCAAAGTTCAGATCAAGAGCCAAAGAAATAATTCCCACCAACTGGTTGAAGTCGTGGTTAATCAATTTCTTACATGCCATGGAAGCAGTAATCAACAATTCAAAACCATGAGGCTCTTACAGCCAAACGACAGTTCAGATCAACAGCCATGAATCAGTTTGAACTGAGGCACCCAGACCATTGATGGTCAAATGTGGGACATGGACCGGTCATTCCTAAGCCAAACAAATCTGAATTCGGGCAGTGACACTCACTCAGTGATCAGGGTTTGGTTTCAAGGAACTCTCGATACTCCTTTTTTTTTTCCTCTTCCCTGTGCTGGTGGAAGGGTTCGTTTGCAAACACAAATAGATGGTGGAAAAGTTTTTACACACAGTGACATTACTTATCTGCCCGTAAGTCCTTTCGAAGTTAACTTTTTTCAATTCATTTGTTTCCACCATCCCTCTGTGTGCAGTACTGGCTGTTCCCTGATACCGATATGATATGCTCATATACCTGCCTGTCATTGAAACTGCCAAGTTTTACAATTAAGATTAATGAACAATTGGTTGATTGCTGCACCAGGGATTTTTCAGCCTTGAAAAAATCGACTGCCTGTCTCAGTCGGAGTCGGCGCCCTTCACTTTTGCCTTCTTTTTTTTGCCGCTGTCCTTCAGATGCTGAGGGCAAAACATGCTGCACATGTGCTGAAGGAATTGCCTCTTCTAAGGCCAGGAGTCGTGGAATATAAGAACTATTTCTGTGGAAATATGGTGAAATATCATGAGATATTTTTTCATTTTGAGTTTTGTCGGGTGTCCTTTTCATCCTTTTTTTTTCCTCTTTTTGGGCTTCTTCTCGTCATACTTCTCCTCTTTATCCTTTTCGTCTTCCTTCTTCTTGCCCTGATCGCCGCCTTCCTTCTCTGGGTCCTTCAGGTGCTGAATGCAAAGCATAGGGCACATGCTGAAAGATTTGCCTTGTATAGGTCATGAGCCACGGAAAATTCTGTGGAAGTATGAAATATCCCATCAACGGAAAATTCTGTGGAAGTATGAAATATCCCATCACTTTTTTTTCCATACCGACGCGTCCACATGTAATGAGCCCAGCAGGACCAACATCAGCGTCACCTGAGCAGGCAAGTGGGACTGAGACAAATGGTACCAGGGTGCTGTAAAAGCACAAAAAAACAAAGTAAGACTGCAGGAAAAAGTGCTGTAAGAGCACTGCTACAATGGGTGGATTACCAGGGTGCTGTAAGAGCACAAGACATTTAAGTAGGACTGCAGGAAAAAGTGCTGTAAGAGCACTGGTACAATGGGTGAATCTTACAAACTATAAGGACACCAACACAAGCAACTAGTCCTGGTTGAAGTCGTGGTTGCAATGATCAGGCTCTGACAGCCATGGAAATTAAATTTCATCAGGCTCTTACAGCCAAACGGGCTCTTACAGCCGTGGATCGTAGCAATCTGAACTGAGGCGCCCAGACCATTGATACGAGCGAAATGACCTGATTAGTGCATGGGTGAAGCTTATCACAGTTGGTCTTGAAGCCGCATTCTTCCGTGTCTACAAGAAACAGCCGCTGCATCTTTTTCTAAATTGCCCATGTAAATCACAACCAGACACCATCATCACCAGTGCTTGCATCGAAGGCTATAGGCTGACTTGTGAGCCCTGCACTGTAAAACAAACGGTCCATGATTTTTGCAATCACTGGAACAGTGAAGGAGTTCCCCACCATGGCACGCATCTTTGCCTCTGTGACATCCCCCGGGCGCTGAAGTCTCCCAGGGTAAATCCCTTGCAATCGAAAATATTCACTCAAATGCAATTTTCGCTGCCGGCTGAATGACCAATATCCATTGCTTTCGCACCTACTCTTCGTCAGACAAGGAGCATAACCAATGCTGAAAGGGGTTGAACTTTGGCACCAATTGGAGCTCATGCCGATGTCTGCAATACCATCACATCTCATGGGTTGCCTCTTGTCTTGCAACTTCTTGTAGCAGGTGATGAGGTTGCGAATTTCGGTCTTGCTGTGAGGCCATACTGGTCCGCTGCCATCCTGAGGGTCCAAAGCAGATTCAAGGGACACAGGGGCCTGCGGTTCCGGCCATCTGAAGTCCCGGACAGGATCATGCACACCAACAATGTACAAACGACCTCGGGATTGGGCTACTCCATGGTCCTTCGAGTTCAGAACTCTTGCCTGCAGCTTGTAGTATGGTTTGCCACCAATGTCCTACCGAGAGCACAAGGTTCTTTTCCCCTGCAACACTGCAAATCCAAATTCAACACATGGTCGTGTTGAAAACCTGAAACCCATGAGATTTCACAAACCAAAGCAAGGTCCTTCAAAGCCTTGAGCACATCTCTGACCAATTCATACGCCTTCTTGAACTTCTGAAAATTTTCGACATTCTCCAACAAGAAGGTTCGTGGTCGTGTCAGCCGGATGCGCTGGAGAACATAGAGCAATACTTTTCCGTCCTCACTTTCCAAGCCATCACCCGTGCCCAGCACAGAGTACGGTTGGCACGGGTAGCCTGCTGAAAAAAAACAACAGGGAGGTGATTGGGCACAAAGTTGCGTTGAAGCACGCTCCTGACTGCCACATCGGAATCACTCACCCATTCCTCCTGAAATGGAAGATTCAACGATTCCAAGGCCATAGCAGCTGCATTCAGACCAGTGCAATCTGAAGCTACGGACAGAACATCTTTCTGCAAAACACGGCAGCGACGTTTGGGCATCTTGAGTGAAAAAAACTGCCCCTCAAACAAAGACTGTGCTCTCACAGCACATTCACTGACAGCTTAAATTCTGAGGAACCCCATGGCCAGTCTGATGCAAAATACAGCCAATGTCTTGGCCCCCAGCACAGACCCTCACGGATTGAAGCCTCAGTGAATGCGATGCGACATGCCTCAATGACATGACATGTGCCATTGGGTCGAAACTGGTGTTGCTGAAAGCTCTTACAGCTTCAAGACACAGGAGAAGTAAGGCCACCAGGACCCTTTTTTTTGACCTCAGGCACCCAGCCTGTCAGGACTTCTTGACATGAATCGCCAATTCGGTGCCGGATTCCATATCACAACTCTGTCGGGATTTTCATCGACAGACTACTGTGCTTTGTGATATTCTCAGTTGGCGCTCAGGGCTTGAGCAAATTCTATCTCCACCAACACAATGCAGGCGATTCAATATATGATTCAATGTTCAACAAGGAACTTTGGAGGGGGCTGCTCATGCCACTAAGCTCAGATTTTTTCATTGCCATTGAGGCAAGACTTACATCAGTACAGCGGCTAACTGTCCCATGCTGGCGCACTCTCAGAAACAAAAAAAAATAGGCAATTCTGTGTACTGGACTGAATAGTTTTTGCTTCTCAACAGCGCGGACAGTTCAGTCTCAGAATTGCGGCGATTCAATCTCAGCTCCCTCACTCGACGGCCGATGCGGCCAGCTTCTGCAGCTCCGCAAGCATATCGCCAGCCGTTGTCTCAGGCTTGGCCTTGGCCTTCGGTTTGCGGGGCTTCTTCTCAACTTGCCCATCTTGGCCATTGTTGCCGTCGATCTGGCCATCAGCACTGCCTGCTGGCTCTCCACCCTCTTCATCACCATTGACAGCAGAGAGGTCAATCTTGTTTTTCTCTTGCGAGAGGTCTTCTTCTTGGGCTGAGGCTGTGTCTCCTCTTCCTGCTGGTTGCTGTTGTTGTCCAAGATGACCTTGAGGGCAGGCGCAAACAGTTTGCTCTGATCGCTTTGCATCTTTTGGAATACACGGCCTTCAAGCCTGGCGGTGAGTGCCTGGCAGTGTTCGGCCGTGAATGCCAAGCCGAAAAATGGGATACGGCGCTCTAAGCACAGCTCCGCCATCCTCCCATCCCCAGCCAGTGCCACAACGGCCACGGGGTCGACGGCTTGGATGAGTTCCTCACAGAGCGCCGACGGCGGGCTGTGATACAAGAAGGGCTCCATGTCGTTCTTGTCCCTTGGTTTGCCTCCCTTGGCCCCAGACTCTTCCATTTCATCATCGTCACCTTCGCTTGCATCAATGTTGTCATCGTCGTCTTCTTTTCCACCCACGGCAATCCTTGCGCCATGCTTCCCCAGCAAGACCAACTTGTCTTTCATCCTCATCAGCCAGGCATCACTGTCCTGCTGCCATGAGGATGCCGTGAATGGACCTAGGAAATTTCCTCGGTTCGTGCCATTGGAGTGCAGCCTTTGGTGCTCATTGAGCTGCAATCCGTTCCTGGTGATCAGATGGATCCTTTGAATCTGGTTGATGGACGAGAATCCACGGACCTTGGCAAGCCTTTCGGTGATGCTGCTTTCTGACATGGTGGCTGTCCAGGTGCGAACTTGCTTCTTGCACGGTGCAGGCTTTTGAAGCTTGCCTGCTGCATCTGGCTCAGGAGCAAGGCAGAAAACACCAATCAACCTGCCTTTGTTTCCATCCTTGCCGCAGTCACACAAAGCATAGATGTCTCGTGGATCAAGGTCTTGGTTGGGGTCTTTTCGTTGCCGCACCAACCGCACGAATCTTTGGAGGTGGCCTCCGCGATTTCTGAGGCCAGGCACGCGCAAATGTGGCTGTACCTGAGCTTCGCCGGCATCGGCTTGGTCATACCACACCAGTGTATGAGTCTTTTTTTCGGCATCTCCTGAAGCGCTGCCTGCCACCGACTGCTTCAAGCTTTCCAGGAGATCCTCATCGCTCTTTGTCTCAGGCTCCAAAACCACATAGGTCTTCACCAAAGATCGGGCCTGGGTCATGTGCCTTTCCAATCGCTGCAGATCCTCTTTGTCTTGCTTGTCCTCACTCGCTTGCAGCTCAGCATAGGTTGCCATCACGGTCTCAAAGGATTCAATGCCAAAAGCTGCTTTGTCCTGAGCAAGGATGCTGAACACCACAATCAAAAGTGAACCATCTTTTGATTTTTTGGAGGGTGACCAATACAAATCATTATATAGTGAGCTGCCCCAGCCGTCCTCTCCAATTTCGTGCGCATCCGAATCAGCATTGCCACTGTCAGCAGCCGGCTCGTTCTTGGACTCAGCACTGGTTTGCTTTTCCTCCTGGTAGCCAACAAAGAAACTTTCTTCAAAAAAACATTCTCAACTTCACAGAAGAAAAGGTTCTTCTAGGTTCTTACTTTTAAAGGCTCTTCATAGGCTCTTACAGCCCTTGAAAGGCTCTTACAGCCATTCAAACTTGAAGCCAATTAGTGGCTACATCCATGACTGGATGCACACCATGGCTTCCCAAGGGGTGATCCAAAGGTCCATTTGGTTGCTGCTTTCCCAGTTGGGCATGTGGGACCAGCTGGAGCAATTTCTCCAGCTGTGGACTTTGCCAAAAGCTATGGCCAAAGCAGGGAACTTGCATGATTTGTTTCAGACCAGGAGGACCAAATTTTACAAGGAAAATTCCAAGTTCAAATGCGCAGCATCAGAGGCCATTGGCCTCTCCACCATGCTGGCATACCTGGTAAAAACCATTTGTGTGCCAGCTGCTGCCCATTTGGATCAATGCCACAGCTTTCTGGCCATGGTGGAAGCCTTGGAGATGTTGCAAGCCACCCAGCTTGGCCAAGTGCAGCCACCCATGTTACAGCACCTTGGCAGCCAAGTGTGTACATGTTTGCTTTTGTTTGCATCCAGTATATGTTCTTTCAAAGCAAGACTTGTTTTCATGCGTGCAAATGTGACGTGAGGCAAGCCATTGAAAATGCCTTGGACCTCTTCAAGGAAGCCAATGGTGAAGCCATGATGCTGAGGAAGCATCATTGGATGCTCCATTCGGCTACACATTTGCAATTATGGGGTTTCCTGCCCAATTGTTGGAGCCTTGAGAGAAAGCACAAGACCATCATGATGTTTGCCAACCAGACCAAGAAGTTGACTGGATTCAGCCTCAGTCTGCTGGAGGAATGCTTGGCCCATGACTTGTACAACTTGCAGCATTGACACCATTTGGAAGCAGGGGTGCAATTGTTGAACAGGCATGCTCCCAGTTCAAAATTCCATGGTTTTCTTTGTGCTGCCATTCTCCAGCAGCAATTTACAAAGGACCAGGTTTGGACTGCAACTTCAGCCAAGTTGCACCATGGTGCCTCCATCCACAACAAGGATTTTGTTCTTGTCAGCAGCACCAATGCCTATAAATGGCAAGTTGCCAGAATGGAACACCACTTTGGAGTCCAAGGGGTTGTGTACTCCATTGCGACTTTTTGCACATGCACAGAATATGTTTATTCCAGCCATTCAGCACAAGTCCAAATTCAGGATCAGCTGCAGCTGATAGAAACTTCTTCCATCCTTTGCCCTCTCATTTATGCAGAGGAAGAAAGAGCCACCAGGGTTCTCATTCCATGGGCCTACAGACCATCCAAAGACTGGATGCCATTGATGCAAGAAAATCAATGCTTCCCAGGTGCTCAGTGTTCAGCATTGTCTTGTGTTTGTGACATGGAGTTGCTTGGAGCTTGTAGCACACAGTGCTTTCATATTTTCATGTTGCAAATGAAGCTTCACAAAACCCATGTTTTGTATGCAATTTTAGTGCCAGCCAGCACTGTGTGCTTTCCAAAACCCAGCACCTTGTGCTTTCCGACCACCAGCACTGACAACCATGGGAAATGCTTTGCAAGGAGAAGCACCCCAAGAGCCAGCAGGCTAGGTGCCAGCCCATGGAGCTCCAGACCAAGGTGCATGGACCAACTTGGATGCATGGGCCCCCCCCCACCCCCTTCCATAGGCCAGGGCCACCAGCAGCCATAGACTTGTCCAAGTTGTGTGAGCCAAGGAGCCATCTATGGGCACAACATTGCAGTGCCATTTGGTGGTGCAACAAAACCTATGACAGAGCCACTTGCACCAGATGCGGCAGACCATGGGTTCGATCCTTCATGGAAATTGGCCCACAATTTTGTGGGCCATGGCCTCCACCAGGCCACCATGAGCAAGGAGGCCATGACCAAGCACCAGACCAAGGGCACCATGACCAATGGCACCACGACCAATAAAATTGGTGACCATGCCATGGACAAGGACCATGCAGGACCAGAATGAGTGGCCACATCATGCAGTGACCATGGCCAAAGGCTGCAATGTGTTGGTAAGTGAAAAAAGTCAGCAGTTTCCTGACCAGTGGTGTTTCTAAGTTACCACAGCATCTTCTCCATGTGCATTGCTTTGAAAGCACCGATTTAAGCACCCAGTGCTTTTGGCATGCCACCTGGTTACGTTCCATTTTAGCACCCAGCGCTTTTGGCTTAGCACCCAGTGCTTTTCATACATGCAAGCCATGCATGCTTCATGGGCATGTTGCTTTTGGCATAGCACGCAATGCTTTTGGCATAGCACGCAATGCTTTTGGCATGACATATTTGCTTCCAATTTGCTTTTGTGCACAAACTTTTCTTCCAGTGAGATGCAATCACACCATGGACAATGAGCTGAATGAATGGCTTTTGCATGGAAATCCAAAGCAGATTTCCATGTTGTACATACAACCAAATCCACTGGATTTGTTATATGTTGTTGCCAGGATATCATTATAGCCATCAAATGCAAAAAACAATGCACCATATTCTTGCCAGGATAATCATTATAGCCATCAAATGCAGAAAATCACGCACCATTCTGATGAGATTTGTTATTTTATTTTCTTTCTTCAACAAGTTTATGTTCCCACCAAAACACTATATGTTAAAGGATTCCATTGAACGAAATTGAATCTTAGCAGATGCTTAGCTTATGTTTAGCTAAGTGCCTCCTAAGATGGCTAAGCAGGCTAAGTACTTAGCAAGGAACCGTTCTTCTCAAGTTGGTCGCCGTCTTGGTCGTCGTCTTGGTCGTCGTCTTGGTCGTCGTCTTAGTCGTCGTCGTCGTCGGCGGCATTGTCGTCCTCTTGGTCGTCGTCGTCCTCCTCCTCCTGGAGGACTCCTCCTCATCATCGTCGTCGTCATCATCATCATGATGTTTCTTCATCCTACAATCATCAGTGCTGGCCCACTGCGCAAACGTTCTTGATTTCGTCCAACAAAATCAGAGCGTCAGCAGCCAAAATGCGAAATCATGAAAGGACTGTTTCACATGTTTAACATATTTAACGATTTCAACCTTTCCGGGCGCTCTTTCTCTATGCCTCGGAGTGCTCTGCGTGGCGAAAAAGATGCCCCCGCTTCAAACTCGCTGCGGACAAGCCAGGAAGGCCCATACGGCTGCTGGCAGGGTCAAGACCGTCAAAAGAGATTCCAGGAGGCAAATCGGGAAGCGTTTTTGTGTATGCTTAGCATGGGAGGCATGATGGAACTTGTCAATGACTGGTATTGCCACGTTGGGGGCAGGTAAGGGTCCATTTTGAGCAAGCTCTGAGCGACAATATAGGAATGGTTGGAAACGTATTGTAGCACTTTTTGACACAAGAACTCTTGAGCAAACCAGTTTGTAGTTGTAAATACAGTACTCGAAACTCGAAAACTTCCGACGAAAGGCACCCAGGCACGCCTGCGACCAGCTAGGTTCAGAGGTGGGGTTGTGCTAGGATATTTTGGCACTGGCTTCTGGAGCATAGCCACATAGCAAAGCCTCTCAATTGTTGATTTGCTTCAAAACACTCAACAAGCACAAGCAAGGATTGTCAAGGCAAGTGGGATCCTCATGGAACCGCAAGGCAGCGAAGCGCAACGCCAGGGAGAGAATGGTGGAGTGATACGTGTTACAGGCTAGTTTAGAGTCGTCTCTAGAACAACGCCTTGAACATCCTTCAACAATCCGGCCTTGACTTGGGCCCACCCCAAAGCCGCAACAAGGAATAGAGCTCTTCGATCCTTGTGCTGCTGACAGGAAACTATGGAAAACCGTGGGGTAAAAAAATAAAACATGTAGAATCCACCAAGACCCTAGTTTGGCTCTGTGGGCAAAAAGCCTCTAACTTTATTAATCTGAATGGTGATTCCTCCAATGTCAAATGTTTCTGGGAAGTCCACTCGAATGTAGAAGACCTTTGAGGAGGCTAAGGCTCAGGCGCTCAGAAGATTCGTAAATTTGTGATGTGGAGATTTTTGTTGTTTCGGTGAAACAGGGAAGTCTGTACCTTACCTAACTAGGCGTGTCATTTACTTTCTGCGGCTCTTCCCGCAGTGTTCCAGCGCTGGTACGGCGAGATTAGTTCCATCACCACGCTCCAATGTATCAGATATCATGATATCATATATCGAAGCAGCGGGACACTTCACAACACAGTCTTCGCCTCTTCAGCTCTGACGGCGCATCTCCAACGTAGCGCATGAACTGTAACGGCCGTGCTCCCCGCACGTTGCGGGCGTGATGGCATAGCACCCTGCCAGAGTCAAAGGTTTGCAGTTGTTCTCACACTGCTTGCAGTTTGTAAAATGGTGTCAGAATTCATCAAACATCGCTGTTGCGAGTGGAATGCATGATGCTAATCTTTGAAACACATACAATAATCGCGAATAACAAAATATGAAATATATATATATATTAAATATATATATATATATATACATATGTACGCCTAAAGTACATGTGCGGCTGCAACGTCATCTCATGTCCTGTCATGTCATGTGATGTAATGTGATGTGAAACCACTTCACGTCACGTCACGTCACGTCACGTCACCTCGCGTCGCGTGCGTGTGTGTGTGTGTGTTAAACTAAATTGCATCATATCGTATTGTACAATGTATATGTTCTGTTCGAAGGAAGTTTAGAAGTCAAACTTCCGAGATATGGACAGATGAAAAGCAGAGATGGGAAGAGCAGGAGAGAAGAGAAGAGTAGAAGAGAGAAGATCAGAGAAGAGAAAGAGTCAGAAGAAAGAAGATGCAGGTGCGCGAAAAGGTAGGAAAGTCGCGAAACAGGCTGTTTTTCCAATGATTTGTGGCTCCGGAGGGTCGAAAAGTAGGCTCGCGAAAGCGGCGGGTGCGGAGCCATCTGGCCAGATGAGAGATGAAAAATTGCACGCCGTTGTGGCGCGAAGCTTATTTCCAAGTCAAAATGTACAAAACACCACATGCTCGGACCACTTTTGGAAGTTGCGATGTTGAAAAAGTGCACGCCGTTGTGGCGCGAAACACATTTCGAAGTCAAAATGTACAAAACACACCATGTTCGGACCACGTTTGGAAGTTGAGATTTCGCGTGCACTTTTAAGAGTTGCGATGTGGAAAAAGTGCACGCCTTTGTGGCGCGAAGCACATTTCGAAGTCAAAATGTACAAAACACATCAAAACACACCATGTTCGGACACTTTGGAAGTTGAGATGTCGAAAAAGTGCACGCCGTTGTGGCGCGAAACACATTTCGAAGTCAAAATATTAAAAAAAAACACCAGGGGTTCTGACCACTTTTGGACGTTCAGATGTTGTTTTGCGTGGCAGGTGCAAGGGATTGTGCACCTTGTCAAAAGTGAGTAAAACGTGAAAGTTTTGTAGCATTTTCAAGTACAACCACCACTACACCACACTACACTCCAATACACTACACTACAACTACAACTACACCTTTACTACATTCCACGACACTACACTACACTACACTCCACTACACTCTACTACACTACACTACACTCAATTACACGCAATTACACTCAATTACACTACACTACACTACACTACATTCCACTACACTACACTACACTACATTCCACTACACCACACTACATTACACTACACTACACTCCACTACATTACACTACGTTACATTCCACTACATTATACATTACACTACACTACATTCCGCTACGCTACACTGCACTATACTAACTACAACTACAACTACAATTATAGGACCGGATAACCCCACATGTTAACAACTTCATCAGACTTAGACTGAGCATAGAAAAGCAAGAAGGGGAGAGGAAGTATGAGAGTGATGGAGGGGTGATGGTGGGTGAGTTTGTGTGTATGTATGTATGCATGTATGTATGTGCATGTACAGGTGTGGCACTTTGGTAGTGTGTTAACGATATGTGTACTGGGTGTAAGGGGCAGTTTGTAATACATGTGATGTACGTGCTGATGTTTTCTAACTTATCAGCTATCTAGCGATCGATCCATCTCTCTATCTATCATTATCTATCTACCTATCTATCTATCTGTCAGTCTATCTATCTATCCCTGCAGCCTACTTTTCCTCTGTTTTGACCATAGGGTCATGTTACGCATCACTAAATTATACATAAGTCAAAATACGCCCCTTTGTTCAAAACAAGGTCTTTTGTGATTTTGTCAAAATGAAAAAACATGTATAGAATATAAATTTGATGTCTGGGATATTGATACCACATGATCGGTTATGAAGATCTATCCATAATTCCGCATGTTTTGAGGGTGGCACCACTTCCGCCTCATATGTGGCCGCTTCTGCTGCCACTTTTCTCTCTTGAGCGCTTTCGCGCATCCCCGCTTTGAGTCGAAGCCCCAGATTGGACAACCACTGGACCCAAAACAAACACAGCTAACCAAGATTTAACATATAAACCGGTAATAGTGTGGGTAGCCTTGAGCACTGTTAATTGCAAAGGTCTAAAAACCCCAATGGTTCCAATCAATTTGGATAAGTATCCATACCTCTTGAGTCACGCATTGCTGCTTTCAAAGACTCTTCGTAAACAGTGAGAGCCCTCAACATGACTGAATTGGGCAAACTGCGCGTAGAAACACGACGCGATAGTCTACTTGGACGGCCAAAAAAATCTTCTTGGATTTGATTTGTTCGAACGAGGGGATTCTCCACCTAGTCAAATTTGGAAGATTGATCCAAAAGATCATGGGCATCATGTGCAATCATGTGGTGTTGAGGGGTCATGGCAAAGCTTCGTTTCGACGCCCCCATTGTGATGTTGGCACACATGGCATAATGTCCCAAAAATGAAAACATCAAATGGCCAACTTGCTTCCCTTTGGCACTGCGCATCCGATACCCCGAGCCGAAAAGCATTCTCAAAGCTCTGTTCATAGCACTCGCCCCATGTGCCTCAGCATGGCACAAAGAGAGCTGTCAGCACAAAGCAGGATGAAAAGCAGTAACCCCAACCCAAACTTATAGAAACAACAGAAAAAATATATGTTTTAGCTTTTTTTAAAGCCTCGTAAACAATGCTTTTATAGCTCCAAAAGACGCGGTGAACGTAGGGGGTACGAGTGGCTAACGGACGTGGTGACGAACGTAAGGCGAACGAGTGAACGGACGAGTGCACGTGTGAGCGAACGAGTGAACGGACGTGTGCGTACAAGTGGACGGACGTGTGCGCGTACATGAGTGCGTTTGCACGTTCACTGGCCGCGCGCGCGCGCACGTACGAAAATAAGGTCGACTGGAGTCGACCTTATTTCTGTACGTGCGAAGCGCTACAATACTAAATCAATATTAAACAGGTAGAGAAAGGCAGGGTCGTGCAAAAATAAGGTCGACTCAAGTCGACCTTATTTTCGTACGTGCGTGCGCGCGTGGCGAGTGACCGTGCAAACGCACGGACGTACGCTCACATTTCGCTCGCACGTACGCTCACTCGTACATACATACGTTCGCACGTACGTTCACTCGCACGCATGTCGTTCACACACACGTTCATACCCCCGTTCATGTCACTCGTCACTACACGTACGCTAGATAACAAAAATATGTTTACGAAACTTAAAAAAAGCTAATGTATGTTGCACAAATGTATGGAAGCTAATAATCAAGGAGAAACAATGGAAAGAAGCAATGGGTCTTGGGTCTTGTTCAACACATAGCATTGGCAGAAATGGTCCGGGAAGAGCATCATCTCCGTAGATACCTGTCCTTTTGACCAACGTGCGATGGGACATGTTGATCCTTGAGGGAAGCCCATGGTTTCACGACTGATCTCACCCATGAATGGAGTCGCGGCCTTTGTACGCCAGAAATCCAGGTAAAGTGAAGTCAACCATTGAAATTTCACCTCCACAGACCCTCCCACCACGGATGGCAAATCAGACCCAATGATTGCCACAAAAGCTGACCCTATGAAGTGTTTTGACACACCCAAGTGAAAGTTGTGCCACGAGTCCGTACGGAAGAACTCCATGCGCAGTGCATCAGTCAATGGTAGCCCTTGAACTATCAGGGGAATTGACTCCCATGCCACCCGTGTGTGCAAAGTGTCAACCCATGCAGCTTGAGGGGACATATCCTCAAAAGGAATTGCCCTGTCACCCCCTTCCACCCCAGCATCACACAAATGACATACTCCTGGGCAGGGTTTCCTGGATCGTGCAGCGCGAGGGACATGAGAAAAGCTCCTGGCAAACTTGCCTAATTTTTGCAGGGCCGGAAGGTCTCCCTTTGTCCCAACGTGGACCATGTGTACTTTCTGTTGGCCATTGCTAGATGTCACTCATTCAAAGAGCATCTTCATCTTCTCACAATCCTGAGCAAACAATTCCACCAATCGATCCTGTGCTTCTGGGTACTTGGTGTAAGTTGTTTTCAACATAGTGGCAAACAAGAACTGCGTTGACCACGTCTTTCCTATGTAATTCATCCCCATCTCATTTTGGTACAAAGGCCGCCTGTGTTCTTGGGATGCTAGGTAGGCACGAGTTCCTCTACCCAAAGCCCCATGAGCAGAAAGAACCCACAGACCCAAGTGCTTGTAGGACCTCCCCTCATCAGTGTGACTGTAGAAGGGAACACAGCACTCCAAAGGGATCTCACCAGCATCTGTATGCTGAAACAAGCCATGGGATGGCCTGATGGCCCTGAATCTTCGCCAGAATTCAGTCAACACCAGCTTCATTCGTCCAAAACAATCTACACCACACATTTGCATCGTAAAACGCCCTGAGTCAAGCAAACTTTTGACCCATGAACTCAACTTGATAAAAGGGAACTTCTTCAAACCGGCTAAATCTTCTCGATCTATCTCAATTCGTGGAGCTAGACCATACCTTCGGAAGATTCGGTGGCACCCCTTCTCAGCATCATTTGGACGTACACTGGCAAACTCCCTCATCGGCCCGGTCGAGTTGGGGGTTCGCCCGAACATGCGTGATGGCAAACTCCACCAGGTGCATGCATGAGGCCTTAGCAGGCGAGCAAAAAAGGTTATCATCTTGAGCTCAAGGAAAGGGTCAAACTTCAGAAAAAAAAACTACTTTTGAACACATTCACTGACATCGGATGGACCAGAAACAAGTGCTGAAAAGACAATAGCTACTTCACATGGGGGAAAACTTTGACACTGCGCGATGAAAGAACACTATGCAAAAACGTTGCCACACTTTTTTCCCAACAGCAGGATAATGTGGATTCTTTCACACAACCCACCTGGCTTGGTCAGCCCGGCCACCTGCAATATACATGAAATAGGGTGGAGGAGCTGGGGGTTTCCGGTTTAAAGCCCCATCACCCCCACTCCCCTCAGCATTTTTGCATCCCACATGTTTGTGGTATTCGCTAATTAAAGCCGCTTCCAGCATGTGGACAAGATCCACACTAGAGGACTCAGCTAGGACCCACATTGAAGAATAATTTTGTTCCTTGTACATGTGAAATCGTGTCAACGGACTTGCTGTGACACCAAGTTTGAAAACGCATAGGCGAATCTCCATTTTTTCTCGGAATGCCGACACTTTTGACTTGCAATGGGGCAATATTTTCCCACAGGTTGGTGAAGAACCGTTTTTGGGCATACAATGGTTGTACAAATCCAAATTTTGGACCTTCTTCCAGTCACCACTCTCATGAGCTAGAAGTTCAGAATGTAGGCCATTCCCAATGACCTTGCGATGATTTTCCTTAGATGGGAAGAACATGTAGGAACAATGTCTGGTGAACACCCAGGTAGCCCACTTGTCCTTTGCAATTACATTTAGTAACACTGAATTGTTTTTCTATGCTGAGGCTCTGCCGGCATGGCTGAAAGCTTCATCATCTTTTTCGGAGGAGACACTGGGGAGCTGGTGTCAATACACTGCCCTGGACGATTGAAATATTCCATGTACTCTTCCATGTCTAGATGCACACGTGGAGACCAAAGTGGGCTGGCAACAGGAATAGCATTTGACTCCAGGTTCTGCTTCAACAGCCTTAGCGATGTAAAACCAAAAATCAAAACTGGGTGTTTTAGTCAATTTTAGTGTCCAATCTGTAAAGGCTGCCCAATACATCTTGGGGATGTTCAGTAATGTTTGCTAAGACACTCCATTTGACGTTCGGGGCTCTTAGCACCAGCTGTTCTCAAGCGACCCGACAGTGGGCAAGGATAGGTAAGCAGCGCCATGAGAATATCTTCAGCATCATCGTCATCTCCCATGGGAGCCAAAGTGCGTTTGTGTAGAACTACCCAAACCGAAACAATATGTTTTTTTGGATTCTCTTTGAACCCCCATAGATGCAACATATTAAACATCAATCGATCAAACAAAAAAAACATATGTTTTGTCTGTGTTGTTGTGATATGTTGTGATGATGTTGAATTTCAACCAGAGCTTTAAAATCTCAAAACTAGAAACATATCTGGCCTCATGTTTGTGGCATCTTTATATTTGATCCAAGAACCTTCACCACCGATACGACAGTATTCAGCAAACAACATGCCCCTCTAATCTATTATTAGCCCATGAAGTTCCAACATTCTCTGGGCAGGAGCTGGGAAGCCCGGCACCATTGGAGATGAGGTGCGCGCACTGCCTCAAAACTTCATCCGGGGAACCTGGCCACGGGCCACAGTCAGGGATGGAATTTGTGGTTGTTGTGCAGTGCGGCCACCGGTGGGGCATGGCAAGCAAGCTCAAACTATTTTCTGTTCTTTGGCATCCTGCTGATAGCAGGAATCCCCGCTATGAGCACACCCCTAAGATCCATCTTGTTGATCAATGACCGTTTCAGATCTTTGACCTTGTTTTTCTCAATCCCTGGAACCGAATCCTTTGAAATTGGCTAGGGCCACTTTCAAAATTCCATTCTCGACTCATCCCCGGGAGTCACTGGGAAACGGAGTGGCGTTTGCCATGTAAACATGTAGTGGCTCATTCGGGCACGGCTTTTCGAAGCTGCCTCACCAGATTCCTGAGACAATGACCCCATCACACCCAAGATAGAGTTGTGGTTGACCATCAGGGTTTTGAAAGCTAGTTTCTGATCAAGAACAATGTGGTTAATCTAAGCTAGTGGAAGCCTATCTGGAGCCCACAAAAAAATATAGTTGTATTCTATCTTGCCTTAGTATTGAAGGAGCCCATCAAATTTTGATGGTGAAATGACCACAAAAAACTTTAGGTGATAAGATTCTTGACACGATCATATCGTATTGATTGAATGGTTTGGACATTTGGTGAACAATATGGGGTATGGTTCCACCGAGGGTCCTGCCACCAACTTCAGCTGCGGTCACCTTGCAGCACCTGAGGATCAAAAGTTGAGATAGTGGTCAAAGTGGATGAGAATGAGAAGCTTACTTTTTCTGAGGCACTTCATGGTCGTGGATCGGATTTGGGCATCGATCTTTTTCAGCCGCCTAAGATTGTCATGAACTGATGAAAGATGAAGGGGGTTAGAGGTTTCAATCTGAAATTTGCTGGGGCATAGTTGATTTCTTTTTGAATCAAGGGGCTGGCTCTTGGTGTCATCATCAAGGCCCTCCCTTCCAAGCTCTGATGTCTCAACCTTCACAGTCTCACACAACTCGAAATGCTTCTCCAGGACGGCGATAGAATCTTCAAGGCACGCAACTTGCCTCTGGCAAGGAACCCAAGATTGGACATGGCAAAGAGATGGGGCCAAGTCAACAGGGTAAGAGATGCCTAAGAAGTGTTCCATGGTATTTGATGTGTAACTCTGAAACTGGGTCTGGGCTTCTTGAGTCGGCTCGCATCTGGGTCATCATCCGGTTTCCCCGTCTCAGAAAAGACAGATTCCAGTTGGTTGATCAGATCTGAAATCTTGGATGCCCGGGACAAAAGGCTGTCGGTGAAGGTCTTGAACTTCCCATGTTCCTGCAATGGGCCATATGTTTGTTCATTTTGTTCGTTTCTATTTCCCATTTGAATCCCCCCAAGGCAAAACCAGAGTTGAACCAATAAATAAAGGCTCTAAACAGATATGGAAGAAACCACAGCCCTCCCCAAGGATATGATGTTCACTTCTTCTTTGAACATGATTTGGATGCTGACCATCAATAAATTAAATAAATTCTATTGTGATGGGTATCTATATATGTTGAACAAATTTATACAGATCAAGCTGTTTCACTCATAGCCTGTCCTTGGCAGCCGTGTGCACTTGAACAGCTTTGGACTCCTTGTCAGAATCCCCATCATCCTCAGAATCGGATCCCAACTTGGGCTGCCCCAAGCGACGTCACCTGGATCCACCTGAGGCGACAGCGAATGCTGACCGAAAAGCAGTTGGACCAGTATGGGGGGGGCGCACAAGTGGAAAGCATGGGGCCTCAGCATCTTTTCTCTCATGTCTCTCTTCATCTTCACTTAACTCAGTGTCATTCTCCTCGTACACCACATAGTACTTTTTGAGCTTCTTATTGTACCGGTCTTTCCTCAGTACATTCAATGGGCAGGATATAAACCCCAAACATAAATCAACATTAACTTTGATGAGCATGTTTGTAGGCACACATGCCAATTGATATGCATGCAGGCTGGATCCTTCACCAACCTTTCATTTCCGGATCGCTCGCAGTACTCAGTGACATTCTTGATGTAGCTCCTGAGATGGATGTTGCAATTGATTTGTGGTAGCACCTCAAGCTATCAACAAATATATATATATAGTTATATGTCATTTGTGTTGCGTGGGAAATGTTCAAGTAACATGGTGACACTTCGCTCCCCACAAACATTTGACTGGCTCAACACATGTTGGGCGAAAACCTTTTAGCATACTGTTGTTGTGTTGAGCATAGGGTCGAGGACCATTGCAACGTCTTTGCCATTTGCTCTTTGGTGAACCAGCCACGCTTCTTTCGCTTGGAAAGCTTGTTCCCTTTGCTGATAGTCTTGGTGATGCGGGAGATGAACAACTCCTGGTGTAGACAATGGAGTCATGAAGTAGTTATATATAGTCAGGTTGCTTTAAAGA